TCCACTGGAAGACACTAAGGACCAGGTTATACCTCCTGCCCCCGCCTCTTCTCCTGAAAAGTTTACTGGAAGATATAAAAGCCCAGCCTATGCAGGAGTAAGTACCGCCGACGAGGCCTGGGTAACGGATGCCCTGGGAAGGCTGGAAGCAGGAGAACAGCTTTCCAGGGATAGTTTCCACCGACTGCACCAACTCGTCCAAGACTTGTGTTCCGACAGTTACTGGGAGGGGATACATCTTTCCAAACTGAAGGCCATCGTTCAGCACCTAGATGTAAACCAAACCAATCTATCCCAACGCCGCCGGCAAGACATTTTCAGTCCCCGGCACTTGAAAGTGATCCCTCCGATTAAAAGAAAAGCAGAGGGGTGGCAGACACCATCCTCTGTCCCTGAACCAATGGTCATTTCAGCCACCCGAACTCAAACCCCAGACACCTTCAGCTGGGATCTCTCTTATCTGACCAGAAGGGATGATCTTGGAACTGCCCATTCCTTTGTGGATAGAAAACCCCTCACCTTGATGTTCAAGGATTTCCCAGACTCAAGGGCAAGGGTAGAGAGCCCCATATTTTCCATGGCAAGGAAGAGAGTGCCCATCCCTGGACCAATGTCACCATCAGTCCCCAGTAGGACTACAGACTCAAAGGCTGAACACTGGCAACTTCTGGATGAGCCACACAGACGTGCCCGTATGCAGCAGTTATCAGAATCCCTCAAATACATTGAGATGCGACACTTTCATCCCGCCCAAAGAGACATTCTCACAGGGGCGCATGTGTCTGTAGACAGACAAACTTTGGCCCTAATGTTTCAAAATGAACTCAAGACTTTGAAGAGAAAAGGCAAGTATCCCACATTGGCCAAATTGGAGAAGATAAAGCCTGTCTCGGAAAAAAAAGAAGCGCTACCTCCCTGGGAGACGTTTGTGGCGCTCTACCATGTTTTGCGGATGCTACAGCAGCGGTATGCCAAAGACATGGCTACTTGGACGGAAAAGTTTTACCAGCTCATGGACCTCTACCAGCTTCAGTCCCCCCGAATCCAGAGGCTGCTGCAGGACCTGCTACTAGCAAAAGAGCCTCAGTCCCAAGAGTTCGTCTCCGAAGAGACTCTGAAGGCCTTGGAGCTAGTGCCCGGGGAGCGGCTGTTCTGCCGTCTGTTTTGCGGTGGCTCCCATGCCCCGGCAGGTTCCTTTAAATTCTGGAATGTGATACCCCTCTCCGGGCAGAACAATGTGGATACTGTCCAATCTGTGGGTATTGCCCGGTACGGGTTCCTAGAACTTGCCTGGAAAAGCCTACCTCAAGTCAGTCCTTACTTGGCCAAGAAGCTGCCTGGTACCTCCCCTCATACCCACTGACAGGACTCCAAAATCGTTCTGGAATTGAACCCGGGACTCAGATTTTAAGCCCCTTGCTTTGTTCCCCACACCGAGGATGGGGCTGTACTAGCACCCACCCCCATTCAGCTACTGTGTACTAAATAAAATAATGCCCCTCATTCTTAATCAACACTCTGGTTTCTTTTTTTGCAAGCCTAGAATCTCCAGGAAGGTGGCCAGCAGAAATGATTACCATTATGGGTCCCAATTGTTTTTCAGTTAGTGGAGCACACACATTCCTCTGTAGGCAGGAGCCAATATCTACTTCCTTTAAGTGTGTCCTCCCTTTGACTAATATTTATGACCCTCAGAGGACAATGGGAAATAGTAGAGACAGCCCATTCATTTTGCCTCTTCACAAGCTTGACTAACTTCCTAAACATCTCTAAGCCTTGGTGCTCTGGTTTACATAATGGGGTATAGAACGAAACAGTAGTTTAATGGTTTACTTATTGCCATGTGTGTGAGGGGACCCATAGGGACCAGGAGAGGGTGTTGAATGCCCTGGAGCTGGACTTTGTTGGATGTGAATGCTGGGATCAAACTTGAGTGCTCTGTAAGAACCATCTCTCCAGGCCAAACCAGCCAGTTCCAGAACCAACCTGACAGTCGGAAGACTCTGTAGTCTAGTCCTTGCTCTGGCAGCTACAGGACCTTTGATCTTTGTTTTGCCTTCCTTGGAGTAAAAATGGTGACACTGAGGCCTCCCTCAGATGCAGGCACAGCACAGCTCTTACAAGAGAGGTCATCGTGGCATTCTTTTATTGACATAGGGCACTGCCAGACTTATTCTGTAGTCAAGGTTGGCCTTGAACTTGTGGCGGTCTCCCTGCCTCTCAAATTCTGCAGTTACATCTGGCTATCTTTTGATTTTCTACCTTTAATTTTAAGTATGTGACTGCAGGTGACAATGAGCTGGGAAATTTTGAGTGGATGTAATTCCTAAGGATTTATCAGACTATAATCTGCTTTAAAGGTTTATTTTTATTTTCTAGGTGTGCTTGCCTCGTGTGTGTGTGTGTGTGTGTGTGTGTGTGTGTGTGTGTGTGTGTGTGTGGTGTAAAAATGAGTGCCTGGTGCCAGAAGAAGTCATAAGAGGATGTCAGAACCTCTGAAACTAGAGTCATGGGTGGTTGTGAGCTGTCATGTGGGTGCTGGGAACCAAACCTGGATCCGAAAGAGCAGCCAGTGCTCTTAACCACTAAGCCATATCTCGAGTCCCAAGATTGTATATTCTATAACTGTATTTTTAACATATACTCTAATGTCACATGAGGTCAGGTGTGGAATTTTATACTTACACATTATGTTGGTGATCAAAAATTTCAAATTTGGGGGGCTGGAGAGATGGCCCAGTGATTAAGACACTTGTTGCTCTTGCAGTCAACCTGGGTTTGATTCTCAGCACCCATGTGGCAGCTCACAACTGTCTGTAACTCCAGTCCCAGGGGATCCAATGCCCTCTTCTAACCTACTCAGGTATCAGGCACTCACGTGGTGCACAGATATAAATGCAGGCAAAACATCTTAAATACATAAAAAATAAATCATTGTAAGTTTCAGATTTTGATCTAGCTATGTCAGTTTTGGGTACACAGGCATCTAAGTATGCAGCAGAGACACCCACAACATTTACTTCAGCACTGTTCACAAAATCCAAGCTACAGAATCTACCTAGGCATCTTGTCTACAAATGAACAGATAAGAAAGCATAGCATCTAAATGAAATGGGATTTTTATTCAACTGTAAAGAAAAAAATACATTTCAAGGACGTGAATAGAACCAGAGCTCATAATGTTAAATGAAATAAGCCAGATCCAGAAAGACAAATATTACATATTTTCTCATGGGCAGCATCTAGAACTAAAAAAGCATACAATCTGAAAGTAGAAAAACTATTTCGGAAGAGAAAGGGTACTAAGGGGAGGTGAAGGCAGGAGAGGGCATTGGTAGTGGGGTGAGTACAATCAAAGTATGTGAGGTGTGTATATATGGTTTAATTTATACAGTATCAACTAAGTTAACCCACTTTAACTCAGAGTTACCGGGACGAGTGACAGAAAAGCAAGACAAATGTCTTGGGATCAACTTAAGCATCGCCTCCCATGTGGGAGGGCTGGGTTGGATCCCCACATCACTGGCGGTGGGGGGGGAGGAGAAGATAAATTCTTTACTTATTTACTTTTGTTCTCCCTGCAGTAGAATGTCTTATATAAGGACACACTCGAGAAACAGTTCTCCTTAGCTTGACATCTCAGAAGGTTCAGGCCATGGATGTTTGGTCTATGAGGTTTAGCAGAGCAATCACTAATTGAAGCATATGGCAGGAGAAGTGTTCACTGCATGGTAGGTAGGGAGCAGAAAGGAGACAGGAAGAGACCAGGAGGCAGAAAGCTCCTTTATCTTTCAGCTAGGTGTCACCTCCTAAAGTTCCCAAAACCTCACAAAATAGCACTAATAATAGCTGGTGACCATGCATTCAACACATGAAGCCAGGTGGCAGTGACACCTACCTTCAGTCCCAGCACTCAGTGAGTTTGAGGCCAGCCTGGTCTACATAGAGAGTTCTGGGACAACCAGGGCTATATAGAGACCCTGATCCAAACAGAAACAAATGTACAAGCCTGTGAACAGCATTTCCCATTCAAACCGTAACAATGATTCATAAGGAAATTATTTAAAATCCAGGATGTGGAAAACTCAATGGTAAGTATCCCATACTCTTCAAAACTATAAACAGTGGAGCTGGAAATGGCTCAGTCAGCAAATTGCTTGCTGTAAAAGCATGAAGACCTGAATTTGTTCTCCCAGAACACATAGCAACAAGTTGGGTGCTGAACATGCACCCTGTGCTTGGGAGAAAGAGACAAGAGGATCCGTGGGGGATTGCTGGTCAGCCAATCTTGCCAAATCAGCAAGTTTTAGGTTCCATGAGAAACTCTATCTTAAAAAAAAAAGCTAGAGAGAGACGGTTCAGCAGTTAAGCACTTGAGATTTTCTTCCAGAAAACCTGGGTTCCATTCTTAGCACCCATATGGTGGCTCAGAGTCATCTTAACTCCAGTCCTGGGTGAGCCAATGCCCTCTTCTGGCCCCAACAGGCACTGCATGCATGAGGTGCACAGACACGCGCTCATACATATACGATAATATGTACACAACCATACATATAAAATAATAATTTAGAAAGGTTTTTTAAAATGATGGGTAATAGTGGCTAAGGGAGACACCCCACACACGCATGCGTGCACACACACACACACACACACACACACCTGAGTTCTGGGTCTAAAGGTGTGCACTACCACACATAGCCCTTAATTTTATTTGTGTCCTTGGAGGCTAGAAGAAGGCATAAGATCCCCTTGGAGCTGGAGTCATAGGTGGTTGTGACTTTGTTGTTATTTAACTACTTGGTTTAGGTAGTTAACTTGTTACTCACTAACTACCCAGTTAACTACTCAATAACTTACTTTACTACAAAGTTATTTATGTAACTAGCTTGCTATTTGTGTAACTAACCTGTTATTTATTTAACTGCCCTATCTTTGCCCAAACCTTTTTATGTTTGGAATAAACAGACGTGAGTGTTGAGAAGCACGATGTGTTTGATGACCACCTATAACCAGTACCACGGGCTTGAAAGGATACAACACTGCTTAAAATAGCTGTCCTGCCAGTCTCAGACTCTAACTTTCAACTCTCCCTTTCCCTGCTTGCTTGCTTTCTCCTGTGATATTTTGTTTGTGTTCTGTAACGAGTTGTCTTCTCGCCAGCCGCCTTGGCCCTGCCAAGCTGTCTGAAGCCCCAAATAACACATGGGACACTATATTAATTATAAGCTGTTGGCTGTTTGCTATAATTTCTTATTGGATAGTTCTGACTTAAGTATTTAACACATAATTGCTAATCTGAATATTTCCACATGGTCTTTGCTTACTGGAGAACAGGGTCTGGAACTCTTACTCCTCTGGCTTCCTACATTGTGACTGCCTATCTCTCTCTTTACCAGAATCCTTCTCGACTCCTACTCCCACCTATCTTTCTTCCCTATTGGCCAACAGTGCTTTATTCAATAACCAATAACATAAGAACATACATAGGACTTCCCCCATCATCTCTTCTTTTCTGTCTAAATAAAAAGAAAGGTTTTAACTTTAATACAGTCAAATTATCAAGCAACTTATCAAGAAAGAGCTATAGTTATAATATTTTGTCTATTAACATTTAGTAAGATTTTAAGAAAGTATCATCTATCTTATCTTTGGAAGTCTAAAGTCTTATATGTAGCTTATCTTTTATCATAACTAAGGAAAACTATAGTTATTACTATCTGTCGTCAAGTCCATCAAACACCACAGAAGGATAATAATATAAACACTAGAATTGACAGAGTGTTCTGACAAATAAAGCTTGCCTAGTTATCAGAGGGTAGAGCTAGTCACTAGTTAACCATAGAAGCCAGGTGGTGGTGGCTCACACCTTGAATCCCAACACTCGGGAGGTAGAGACAGGAAGTGACAAGGTAGGGTGGAGACGGGATCCTAGCCCTTTTGGATGGAGGAAGGAGACATGGAGGAAGTGACTGGTGGCTGCTCCTGGTTCTATGATATTCCAGGTCTTTACCCCAATATCTGACTCCTGGTTTTTCATTGATTGAGATTAATTAGATAACACTTTATGCTACTGTGTGACTTTCTGTTGCTGTATAATCTATTGACCTGTCTTCCTACCTGGTCCCCCAGTGTCTCTCCAGCTAGAATCAGGGAGTTAGGAGCCTCTGTCTGGGGTCCAGCAGAATTAATCTTTCTCCCTGTGATCTTGGAAGAATCATTCACTTCTGGCCTTCCATTTCCTTAATCTGGAAAATGGAGATGACCATAGCCCCTACCCCACAGAGCCATTGTGAAGATCAGATGGAACTTTACAATTGGGACACTTAGAAAGGATGGCTGGAACACAGCTTACTCACAATAATTTAATTATTCATTTGAAGTCTTGGTTCTGGGGAGTGTGGAGGTGCCCAGTCACTCCCTAGCTCCCTCCTGTGACACTCACGGCCACCTGTGACCTTCCTCTCAGGTGTTTTCCACCATGTTTAACATATGAGTTACTAAGTGTTCTAGTTTCATTTCTGTTGTCATAAAATATCCTGACACCAGCAAGTTAGAGGAGGAAGGGTTTTTTTCACCCACAATTTCAGGCACTAATCCATCATGGCAGAGATGTCAAGGCAGGAAATCAAAGTAGCTAGTAACATCACATTCAAGAGCAGAGAAAGAATAAAGCCATGCATGTCCAGTCCTCAGACAGCTTTCTCTACTCTGACACAACCCAGAGCCCCAAGCCAGGGGCAGTGCCACTCAAAGGCAACTCCTTCCAAATAAGTTCAAGGCCTTCTGAGGAGATGGCCTTGTACCTTTCCAATATTCTTTTCTTCTGGAATGGGACATGAGCCTTCCTTATCAAGGCCATTTGGAGACAAGAATTAGGGCTCCCGAGAAGAGGAGCTGAAGCTTCCGGTCTCAAGAGAGCATGTGGCTGAATGCCCTGCTGCACTCCCTGCTCACAAGGCCTGAAGACATAAGCATTTATTCAGGAAGGCCACTGTGACCATTGATTTTGATCATCAGCTTTGAAATCACAGAAGAGACAAACCTTTGAACATGCCATCGGGACCTTCCAGAGAGATTCAACTTAGGAGAGAACACCCTGAATGTGGGTGGTATCACCCCATGGCCTGGGGTCCCAGACCAAAGAAAAAAAGGAAAAGAGGTGGAGGAAGTGGTGAGAAAGGAGGAGGAAATGGAGGAGAAGGAAGTGAAGGAGGAAGGAACTTGGAGGATGTGGGCTACTATTACCTGCAGGGCGACTTGTGACTTCAGCAAGATTTTTATGATCACAAGCCATGACCTCCAAAGCTCATCTCAGGAAGAAAGACCTACAACACGGAGGTGTGTCCCTGCAGGTGACCTTAGGGGTTTCAAAAGACTCACACTTCCCAGCCTGCCTCCTTCTCCACCTCCTACGTGCAGATCAAGATGTGAGTTCTCAGCTGCTGTTCCGCCAGTGGGCCTTTGTTCCGCTACCACGGACCCCAACTGTTGAAACTGTAAGCCGAATTAAATATTTTCTTTCATAAATTGCCTTGGTCATGGTGTTTTGTCATAGCAATATAAAAGTAACTTAAGACGCTGACACACCTAGAGCCACCTTTAAGAATGTCTCACTTGAGATTATCTTTAATCATGGTGATCTGTAGACATATTTATGATGGTGTAGTAGTTTGAAAGAAAATGGCCCCCATAAGGAGTAGCACCATTAGAATGTGTGACTTTGTTGGAACATGTATGGCCTTGTTGGAGGAAGTGTGTCATGGTGGGGATGGGCTTTGAGGCCTCCTTTGCTTGAGCTATGCTCAGTTTGACACAGTTGCTTCTACTGCCTGTGGATCAAGATGTAGAACTTTCAGCTACTTCTCCAGCACCATGTCTGCCTTCATGCTGCCATTGCCACCTGCCGTGGCAATAATGGACTAAACCTCTGAACTGTAAGCTAGTCCCAATTAAATGTTTTCCTTTACAAGAATTGCTGTGGTCATGGCGTCTCTTCGCAGCAAGTGAAACACTAAGACAGCAATAGAAACCCTAAAAGTATTGTCTTGATTCTCTTCATTCATATAGGACCAGCAGGTCCACTTCCTCTGCAGGCAGTCTTGGACAATATAAGAAAACCATGGAGATATGAGCCAGAACATAAGCCTACAAACTGCATTCATCCATGGTTTTTGCCATGCTCTGGAAGTGTAAGATAAAATAAACCCTTTCCTTCACAAGTTGCCTTTGGTCTGAGTGCTTTAGTAGTGTAGGGTTGGATGAAAATATTCCTATGGCTTCCATGTTTGAATATTTTGTTTCCAGCTGGTGGAAATGTTTGGGGAGGAGGTCTAGGGGGTGTGGTTTGCTGGAGGATATGTGTCACTGGGGTCAGCTTTCATAAATTCCCATGCCCCTTCCTGTTTGCTGTCTGCTTTGTACTTTCAGTTCAAGATGTGTGCTCTCAGCTGCCAGGTCCTGCCTCCAACTGCCATGCTTCCCCACCATCACAGACTCTGACCAGTTGGGAACAGTAAGTCCAAAGAAACTCTTGCTTCTCCAAGTTGCCTTGGTATTTTATCACAGCAATGGAAAAGTAACGAATACAGGTAGAGGCAAGGATATGTGATAAGGTGAGAATAGAGGAAAATATTAATTGTGGAATATAGATGGGAGTTTTGTGTTCATTGTATAAGCATTTAACTGTTCCACATGTTCGATTTTTTTAATGGTAATATGTTAGGAAAATGTAGCAGAAAATTGTAACAAAAGCAAAGTGTGTTCACATTTAAAAGCACAGATAACTATTGTTTTCTCAACTTAACGTTTGGTTTTATTAATTTTTAATTATGAAAATATTCACAAGTACATTCTTCCTTGATTAACACTACAAATCCTAGATCACTGTCAAAACCAAGCCTTATTATAACATTTTCCTTTTTAGGCTGGAGAGATGACTCAGAGGTTAAGAGCACTGGTTCCTCTTACAGAGGCTATGAGTTCAATTCCCAGCAACCACATGGTGGCTCACAACCATTTATAATAGGATCTAGTTCCCTCTTCTGGCATGCAGGCAGAACACTGTATGCATGATAAATTAATAAAAAATAAAATTTTCCTTCTCACCAGATTAATCCATCATATGAGCCTGCAAAACTGGACCAGCCTTTCCTTGTAGAAGGAGACTGGAATTCTATGGAGGCAGAACTGTTCTATAGGGTTAGGTCTATAAGTAAATTATAGAGATTTATATGGCAAACAACAGGCAATCAAGAAATATATTTCAAATAAGTCTGTAAAAGAGAGTAGTTCAATATATCATAAATTGCAACAAATAGAGCTGAACCCGGAATACCAATGACTCAGGAGGCTAGAACAGAGGAATAGGACCTCAAGGCCAGACTGGAGTGCAGAGTGAGTTCAGAGTCAACCGGAAAAAAACGATTAAAAATCATTACACACAGAGTTGGGGATGCAGCTTAGTGGTAGAGCACTTGCCTATAATTCCTAAGACATTGGTCTAACAATTAAAAATCATTACACACAGAGTTGGGGATGCAGCTTAGTGGTATAGCACTGGCCTATCATACCTAAGACATTGGTCTAGTCCTGAATATTGCAAGGACAAACTTCCAGCGAAGAGGAGGCAGCTATGCACCACAGAAACTCACCATCTCTGTGACTGCCATATTTCTATTCTACCTCGTCTCTCCAGTCCAACGCACAATTATGCACCACATCTAACTGATGGAGTGTTCCTCTCCCAGAAGTATGCCTCAGTGCCTGCCTCACACATGCCTTCACTTGGACAGCTGGCACGAGCTTCACTGGCATCCTATCTGTACAGCATGATGACAAAGCCTTGAAAACCCTTGGACAGGGATTCTCAAACAGCACCAGGGAGCGTCCGTTGCTGAGAAAACTCTCCTGTTTCCTGTAGGGTTTGGGGCATCCCTGTCTTTCCACCCACTACATGCTTACAGCAACACTCCTCATGTTGATTTCTTTTTAAGTTTTATTTAAATTTAAATAAATCTTATTTTACATATCAATCCTAGTTCCCTATCCCTCCTGTCCTCCCATTCTCCCCATGAAGCCCCTTCCCACCCCCTATCCACTCCCCAGGAAGGTGAGGCCTCCCATGGGGAATCATCAAAGTCTCTTGCATTATTTGGGGCAGGACCTATGCCCTCCCCCGTGTTATCTAGGCTGAGAGAGCATCCCTCCATGGGGGAATCTGCTTCCATCAGCCACTGAGTGAAGACTCTATAATGGCATTCAAAGCCCATTTATAGACTAAGGATGAATATTGGTTCCACTACCAGAAGCCCCATAGACTGCCCAGTCCCCCAACTGGCACCCACATTCAGGGGGCCTAGTTTGGTCTTATGCTGGTTCCCCAGCTGTCAGACTGGGGTCTGTGAGCTCCCACCTGCTCAGGTCAGCTGATTCTGTGGGTTTCCCCAGCATGATCTGAGGCCATTTTTTCATCCCTCCTTCCTTTCTACAACTGGATTCCAGGAATTTGACTCAGTGTTTAGCTGTGAATCTCTGCTTCCGCTTCCATCAGCCACTGGGTGAAGACTCTAGGATGGCATTCAAGGTAGTCATCAATCTCATTATAGGGGAAGGGCGTTTAAGGTAGCCTCTCCATTACTGCTTAGATTCTTAGTTGGGGTCATCCTTGTGGATTCCTGGGCATTTCCCTAGTGCCGAATTTCTGTCTAAACCTATAATGGCTCCTCTATTAAGGTATCTCTTTTCTTCCTCTCCTTCTCTATTCTTCCCCCAACTTGACCTTCCTGATCCTTCATGTTCTTCTCCCCCCTCCCCTTCCACCCTCCTCTTTCTCCTACCTCCTCCCACTCCCCCATGCTCCCAATTTGCTCAGGAGATCTTGTCCCTTATCCCCTTCTCAAGGGGACCATGTATGACCCTTTTCAGGTCCTCCTCATTTCCTAGCTTCTCTGGGGTTGTGGACTGTAGGCTGGTTGTTCTATGTGTAATATCCACTTATTAGAGAGTACATATTGTTTTTCTTTCTGTGACTGGGTTACCTCACTCAGAATGGTTTCGTCCAGTTCCATCCATTTGCCTGCAAATTTCAAGATTTTATTGTTATCTCCCGCCACCCAATAGTACTCCATTGTATAAATATACCACATTTTCTTTATCCATTCTTCAGTTGAGGGGCATCTAGGTTGCTTCCAGATTCTGGCTATTACAAATAATGCTACTATGAACATAGTTGAACAGATGTCCTTCTGGTATGAATGTGCATCCTAAGAATGGAATTGCTGGATCTTGAGATACACTGATTCCCATTTTCCTGAGAAACCGCCATACTGATTCCCAAAGTGGCTGCATAAGTTTGCACTGCCACCAGCAATGAGGAGCATCCCCCCTTTTCCACATCCTCTCCAGCATTGGTGGTTTTATTTTATTTTATTTTAGCCATTCTGACAGGTATAAGGTGGTATCGCAGAGTTGTTTTGATTTGCATTTTCCTGATGGCCAAGGATGTTGAGCAATTTCTTAAGTGTCTCTCAGCCATTTTAGAGACCTCTATTGAGAATTCTCTATTTAGATCTGTACCCCACTTTTCAATTGGATTATTTTGTGTTTTGGTGACTAACTTCTTGAGTTCTTTGTATATTTGGAGATCAGCCCTCTGTCTGATGTGGGGTTGGTGAAGATCTTTTTCCATTCTGAGGTCTGCCATTTGTCTTGTTGACTGTGTCCTTTGTCTTACAAAAGCTTTTCAGTTTCAGGAGGTCCCATTTATTAATTGTCAATCTCAGTGTCTGTGCTACTGGTGTTATGTTCAGGAATCAGTCTCCTGTGCCACTTTGCTTAAGGGTACTGCCAACTTTTTCTGCTAAGAGATTCAGTGTGACTGAATTTATGTAGAGGTCTTTGATCCATTTGGACTCAAGTTTTGTGCACGGGATAGATATGGATCTATCTGCAGTCCTCTACATGTCAGCATCCAGTTATGACAATATCATTTGTTGAAGATGCTTTCCTTTTTCCATTATATAATTACACATTCTTTGTTGAAAATCAGGTGTTCATAGGAGTGTGGATTAATATCAGGGTCTTCAATTCGACTGAATTGGTCTACCTGTCTGTTTTTGTGCCTGAAAACCAAGCTGTTTTCAGGACTATAGCTCTATAATAGAGCTTGAAGTCAGGGATAGTGATGCCTCCAGAAGTTCCTTTATTGTACTTGGTTGTTTGGGCTATTCTGGTTTTTTTTTTGTTTTTTTAGTTTTTTTTTGCTTTTCCATATGAAGTTGAATATTGCTCTTTCAAGGTCTGTGAAGAATTGTGCTGGGATTTTGATGGGGATTGTACTGAATTTGTAGATTGCTTTTGGTAAGATTGCCATTTTTACTATGTTAATCCCACCTATCTAAGAGCATGGGAGATCTTTCCATTTTCTGATATCTTCTATAATTTTTTTCTTTAAAGACGTAAAGTTCTTGTCATACAGGTCTTTAACTTGTTTGGTTGGAGTT